AAGTATGGGTCCATCTAGTTCATCTTATACACTACAAGTGAGTTTCCACAATGTGGAGTCACAGAGGTACATTTCGGACTCCTTACCTCTTCCGGTTCCCAAATTAGGTCCATTTGATGTTCCTCCCTTGGATTGAGACCGTTTCACTCATGTTTGTCCTCATAGTCATGTGTAGAACCTATTAATCCATGTTTGGGTAAGTATGGGTCCATCTAGTTCATCTTATACACTACAAGTGAGTTTCCACAATGTGGAGTCACAGAGGTACATTTCGGACTCCTTACCTCTTCCGGTTCCCAAATTAGGTCCATTTGATGTTCCTCCCTTGGATTGAGACCGTTTCACTCATGTTTGTCCTCATAGTCATGTGTAGAACCTATTAATCCATGTTTGGGTAAGTATGGGTCCATCTAGTTCATCTTATACACTACAAGTGAGTTTCCACAATGTGGAGTCACAGAGGTACATTTCGGACTCCTTACCTCTTCCGGTTCCCAAATTAGGTCCATTTGATGTTCCTCCCTTGGATTGAGACCGTTTCACTCATGTTTGTCCTCATAGTCATGTGTAGAACCTATTAATCCATGTTTGGGTAAGTATGGGTCCATCTAGTTCATCTTATACACTACAAGTGAGTTTCCACAATGTGGAGTCACAGAGGTACATTTCGGACTCCTTACCTCTTCCGGTTCCCAAATTAGGTCCATTTGATGTTCCTCCCTTGGATTGAGACCGTTTCACTCATGTTTGTCCTCATAGTCATGTGTAGAACCTATTAATCCATGTTTGGGTAAGTATGGGTCCATCTAGTTCATCTTATACACTACAAGTGAGTTTCCACAATGTGGAGTCACAGAGGTACATTTCGGACTCCTTACCTCTTCCGGTTCCCAAATTAGGTCCATTTGATGTTCCTCCCTTGGATTGAGACCGTTTCACTCATGTTTGTCCTCATAGTCATGTGTAGAACCTATTAATCCATGTTTGGGTAAGTATGGGTCCATCTAGTTCATCTTATACACTACAAGTGAGTTTCCACAATGTGGAGTCACAGAGGTACATTTCGGACTCCTTACCTCTTCCGGTTCCCAAATTAGGTCCATTTGATGTTCCTCCCTTGGATTGAGACCGTTTCACTCATGTTTGTCCTCATAGTCATGTGTAGAACCTATTAATCCATGTTTGGGTAAGTATGGGTCCATCTAGTTCATCTTATACACTACAAGTGAGTTTCCACAATGTGGAGTCACAGAGGTACATTTCGGACTCCTTACCTCTTCCGGTTCCCAAATTAGGTCCATTTGATGTTCCTCCCTTGGATTGAGACCGTTTCACTCATGTTTGTCCTCATAGTCATGTGTAGAACCTATTAATCCATGTTTGGGTAAGTATGGGTCCATCTAGTTCATCTTATACACTACAAGTGAGTTTCCACAATGTGGAGTCACAGAGGTACATTTCGGACTCCTTACCTCTTCCGGTTCCCAAATTAGGTCCATTTGATGTTCCTCCCTTGGATTGAGACCGTTTCACTCATGTTTGTCCTCATAGTCATGTGTAGAACCTATTAATCCATGTTTGGGTAAGTATGGGTCCATCTAGTTCATCTTATACACTACAAGTGAGTTTCCACAATGTGGAGTCACAGAGGTACATTTCGGACTCCTTACCTCTTCCGGTTCCCAAATTAGGTCCATTTGATGTTCCTCCCTTGGATTGAGACCGTTTCACTCATGTTTGTCCTCATAGTCATGTGTAGAACCTATTAATCCATGTTTGGGTAAGTATGGGTCCATCTAGTTCATCTTATACACTACAAGTGAGTTTCCACAATGTGGAGTCACAGAGGTACATTTCGGACTCCTTACCTCTTCCGGTTCCCAAATTAGGTCCATTTGATGTTCCTCCCTTGGATTGAGACCGTTTCACTCATGTTTGTCCTCATAGTCATGTGTAGAACCTATTAATCCATGTTTGGGTAAGTATGGGTCCATCTAGTTCATCTTATACACTACAAGTGAGTTTCCACAATGTGGAGTCACAGAGGTACATTTCGGACTCCTTACCTCTTCCGGTTCCCAAATTAGGTCCATTTGATGTTCCTCCCTTGGATTGAGACCGTTTCACTCATGTTTGTCCTCATAGTCATGTGTAGAACCTATTAATCCATGTTTGGGTAAGTATGGGTCCATCTAGTTCATCTTATACACTACAAGTGAGTTTCCACAATGTGGAGTCACAGAGGTACATTTCGGACTCCTTACCTCTTCCGGTTCCCAAATTAGGTCCATTTGATGTTCCTCCCTTGGATTGAGACCGTTTCACTCATGTTTGTCCTCATAGTCATGTGTAGAACCTATTAATCCATGTTTGGGTAAGTATGGGTCCATCTAGTTCATCTTATACACTACAAGTGAGTTTCCACAATGTGGAGTCACAGAGGTACATTTCGGACTCCTTACCTCTTCCGGTTCCCAAATTAGGTCCATTTGATGTTCCTCCCTTGGATTGAGACCGTTTCACTCATGTTTGTCCTCATAGTCATGTGTAGAACCTATTAATCCATGTTTGGGTAAGTATGGGTCCATCTAGTTCATCTTATACACTACAAGTGAGTTTCCACAATGTGGAGTCACAGAGGTACATTTCGGACTCCTTACCTCTTCCGGTTCCCAAATTAGGTCCATTTGATGTTCCTCCCTTGGATTGAGACCGTTTCACTCATGTTTGTCCTCATAGTCATGTGTAGAACCTATTAATCCATGTTTGGGTAAGTATGGGTCCATCTAGTTCATCTTATACACTACAAGTGAGTTTCCACAATGTGGAGTCACAGAGGTACATTTCGGACTCCTTACCTCTTCCGGTTCCCAAATTAGGTCCATTTGATGTTCCTCCCTTGGATTGAGACCGTTTCACTCATGTTTGTCCTCATAGTCATGTGTAGAACCTATTAATCCATGTTTGGGTAAGTATGGGTCCATCTAGTTCATCTTATACACTACAAGTGAGTTTCCACAATGTGGAGTCACAGAGGTACATTTCGGACTCCTTACCTCTTCCGGTTCCCAAATTAGGTCCATTTGATGTTCCTCCCTTGGATTGAGACCGTTTCACTCATGTTTGTCCTCATAGTCATGTGTAGAACCTATTAATCCATGTTTGGGTAAGTATGGGTCCATCTAGTTCATCTTATACACTACAAGTGAGTTTCCACAATGTGGAGTCACAGAGGTACATTTCGGACTCCTTACCTCTTCCGGTTCCCAAATTAGGTCCATTTGATGTTCCTCCCTTGGATTGAGACCGTTTCACTCATGTTTGTCCTCATAGTCATGTGTAGAACCTATTAATCCATGTTTGGGTAAGTATGGGTCCATCTAGTTCATCTTATACACTACAAGTGAGTTTCCACAATGTGGAGTCACAGAGGTACATTTCGGACTCCTTACCTCTTCCGGTTCCCAAATTAGGTCCATTTGATGTTCCTCCCTTGGATTGAGACCGTTTCACTCATGTTTGTCCTCATAGTCATGTGTAGAACCTATTAATCCATGTTTGGGTAAGTATGGGTCCATCTAGTTCATCTTATACACTACAAGTGAGTTTCCACAATGTGGAGTCACAGAGGTACATTTCGGACTCCTTACCTCTTCCGGTTCCCAAATTAGGTCCATTTGATGTTCCTCCCTTGGATTGAGACCGTTTCACTCATGTTTGTCCTCATAGTCATGTGTAGAACCTATTAATCCATGTTTGGGTAAGTATGGGTCCATCTAGTTCATCTTATACACTACAAGTGAGTTTCCACAATGTGGAGTCACAGAGGTACATTTCGGACTCCTTACCTCTTCCGGTTCCCAAATTAGGTCCATTTGATGTTCCTCCCTTGGATTGAGACCGTTTCACTCATGTTTGTCCTCATAGTCATGTGTAGAACCTATTAATCCATGTTTGGGTAAGTATGGGTCCATCTAGTTCATCTTATACACTACAAGTGAGTTTCCACAATGTGGAGTCACAGAGGTACATTTCGGACTCCTTACCTCTTCCGGTTCCCAAATTAGGTCCATTTGATGTTCCTCCCTTGGATTGAGACCGTTTCACTCATGTTTGTCCTCATAGTCATGTGTAGAACCTATTAATCCATGTTTGGGTAAGTATGGGTCCATCTAGTTCATCTTATACACTACAAGTGAGTTTCCACAATGTGGAGTCACAGAGGTACATTTCGGACTCCTTACCTCTTCCGGTTCCCAAATTAGGTCCATTTGATGTTCCTCCCTTGGATTGAGACCGTTTCACTCATGTTTGTCCTCATAGTCATGTGTAGAACCTATTAATCCATGTTTGGGTAAGTATGGGTCCATCTAGTTCATCTTATACACTACAAGTGAGTTTCCACAATGTGGAGTCACAGAGGTACATTTCGGACTCCTTACCTCTTCCGGTTCCCAAATTAGGTCCATTTGATGTTCCTCCCTTGGATTGAGACCGTTTCACTCATGTTTGTCCTCATAGTCATGTGTAGAACCTATTAATCCATGTTTGGGTAAGTATGGGTCCATCTAGTTCATCTTATACACTACAAGTGAGTTTCCACAATCTGGAGTCACAGAGGTACATTTCGGACTCCTTACCTCTTCCGGTTCCCAAATTAGGTCCATTTGATGTTCCTCCCTTGGATTGAGACCGTTTCACTCATGTTTGTCCTCATAGTCATGTGTAGAACCTATTAATCCATGTTTGGGTAAGTATGGGTCCATCTAGTTCATCTTATACACTACAAGTGAGTTTCCACAATGTGGAGTCACAGAGGTACATTTCGGACTCCTTACCTCTTCCGGTTCCCAAATTAGGTCCATTTGATGTTCCTCCCTTGGATTGAGACCGTTTCACTCATGTTTGTCCTCATAGTCATGTGTAGAACCTATTAATCCATGTTTGGATAAGTATGGGTCCATCTAGTTCATCTTATACACTACAAGTGAGTTTCCACAATGTGGAGTCACAGAGGTACATTTCGGACTCCTTACCTCTTCCGGTTCCCAAAGAGTATGAGGCCGTTCCTGTCAGGGAAAGCTCCTAGTAGCCAGAAGGATCTTAAGTGCTCAAGTCCAAACCCAAAGGAAGCCCAGAGAGAGAATCTCTTCCATTCACGCTGTCTTGTCCAGGAGAAGGTGTGCAGCTTATTATTGATGGAGGCAGTTGTACTAATGTGGCTAGTGAGGCCATGGTTGAGAAAAACTTGGTCTTGTGACTCAGAAACATCCTAAGCCATATCAGTACAGTGGATCAATGAGACTGGAGATATGAGCGTGAAGGAACAGGTGCTTGTGCCACTATCTATTGGAAGCTATGAAGATGAGATTTTGTGTGATGTCCTGCCTATGGATGCTGGACACATCATTTGGGAAGGCCTTGGCAATCTGATAGGCGAGTGATGCATGATGGTTTCACAAACAAGTATACTTTTCACAAGGGGCGCAAGACCACTCTATTCCCTTAACCCCTCAAGAGGTATGAAGATCAAGTCAGTTGAGTGGCCAAAGACTAAACCTCAAGCCAAGAAGGAACCAACCAAATCAAATCCTTGAACTATCTGGTCAAGTCCAAACAGGTTAAAAGTTCTATGTCTTCTGATAAGCCTTTTCTCTTATTTATTTTTAAAGGATCACTTAACCTTCTTGATTGATAATGCACCGGAGATTCCGAGTGAGATGTCCAAACTTTTACAGGATTTCCAGGATGTGTTTCCAGATGATTGCCCAAGGGATTGCCACCAGTCAGAGGCATTGAGCATCAAATAGATTTTGTTCCTGGATCCACACTTCCAAACCGTCCAGCATACAGAACCAATCCTGTTGAAACCAAAGAACTCCAGCGCCAAATAGATGAGCTTATGGATAAGGGTCACATCCGGGAAAGCATGAGTCCTTGTGCTGTTCCTGTTCTTCTTGTGCCCAAGAAAGATGGGAGTTGGCGCATGTGTGTGGACTGCAGAGCCATCAACAATATCACTGTAAAGTATCGACATCCTATCCCTAGACTTGATGATATGCTTGATGAGTTGCATGGTTCTAGCATTTTCTCTAAAATTGATTTAAAAAGTGGTTATCATCAGATTAGGATGAAAGAAGGTGATGAATGGAAAACTGCATTTAAAACTAAACATGGTCTTTATGAATGGCTTGTCATGCCATTTGGTCTCACTAATGCACCTAGTACATTCATGCGCTTAATGAACCATATCCTGAGAAACTTCATTGGTCATTTTGTTGTGGTTTACTTTGATGACATCTTGATTTACAGCAAGAACCTTGAAGAGCATCTAGATCACCTTGCATCTGTCCTGTCTGTGCTAAGAAAAGAAAATTGTTTGCCAATCTTAAGAAATGTACTTTTTGCACAGATAATGTGGTTTTTCTAGGCTTTGTTGTGAGTGCAGATGGAGTCAAGGTGGATGAAGAGAAAGTTGCAGCAATCAGAGAATGGCCAAGTCCTAAGACAGTGAGTGAAGTCAGAAGCTTCCATGGCCTAGCTGGGTTCTATAGGCGGTTTGTCCGTGATTTTAGTACCTTGGCCGCACCTTTAACTGAAGTCATCAAGAAAGAAGTTGGATTCAAGTGGGAGAAAGCACAGGAGGATGCTTTCCAGCTCTCAAGGATCGCTTGACTAATGCCCCTGTTCTTATTTTACCTGACTTCTTGAAAACTTTTGAGATTGAATGTGATGCTTCAGGTATAGGCATTGGAGCTGTCTTGATGCAGGACAAGAAGCCAATTGCTTTCTTTAGTGAAAAGCTTGGAGGAGCCACTCTCAACTATCCAACCTATGACAAAGAACTCTATGCCTTGGTCCGCGCCTACAAACTTGGCAACACTATCCTCTGGCCAAAGGAGTTTGTCATCCACACAGACCATGAATCTCTCAAACATCTCAAGGGCCAACAGAAGCTCAACAAGAGGCATGCCAGGTGGGTTGAGTTCATTGAGACATTCCCATATGTCATCAAGTACAAAAAAGGTAAGGACAATGTTGTAGCCGACGCATTGTCCAGGAGGTACACTCTTCTCTCAACTCTTGATGCTAAACTCTTGGGCTTTGAACAGATAAAAGACTTGTATGCTTCTGATTCTGATTTTGCTGAGATCTATAAGTCTTGTTCTAAGTTTGCTTTTGGCCGATACTACAACAAGATGGGTTTCTCTTCTATGAGAACCGTCTCTGTGTGCCTAATTGTTCTTTGAGGGATTTGTTTGTCAGGGAAGCACATGGAGGAGGCTTGATGGGACACTTTGGTGTGGCCAAAACACTTCAAGTCATGAGTGATCATTTCATTGGCCGCACATGATCAGAGATGTGGAGAGGATTTGTTCTAGATGTGCAACTTGTAAACAATCCAAATCTAAGGTTCAACCTCACGGTTTGTACACTCCTCTCCCTATTCCATCTCATCCCTGGACTGATATATCTATGGATTTTGTGCTTGGATTGCCTAGGACTAGAACTGGAAAAGATTCTATCTTTGTGATAGTTGATAGGTTCTCAAAAATGGCTCATTTTGTAGCATGTCATAAACTGATGATGCATCTCATGTAGCTGCTCTGTTCTTTAAAGAGATTGTTAGATTGCATGGCATGCCGCGCACCATTGTTTCTGATCGTGATACAAAGTTCCTGAGTTATTTTTGGAAAACTTTGTGGTCTAAGTTGGGTACTAAGCTTTTATTTTCTACTACTTGTCACCCTCAAACTGATGGCCAAACTGAAGTTGTTAATAGAACTCTTGGAACTTTGTTGCGCGCCTTGATTAAAAAGAATCTTAAAAGTTGGGATGAATGTTTGCCACATATTGAGTTTGCATATAACCATGCTGTGCATTCTGCTTCTAAGTTTTCTCCTTTGAAATTGTTTATGGGTTTAAGCCCATCTCTCCTTTGGATTTGATGCCTTTGCCTTTGAGTGAAAGATTAAGCACAGATGGAAAGCACAAAGGCAGAGACAGTCAAGAAGATCCATGAGCAAGCCAGAAGGAACATTGAGGCCAAAACCAAGCAGTATGCAACATGCCAACAAGGGCCGCAAAGAATGGTCTTTGAAGTGGGAGACAAGGTTTGGATCCATCTGCGCAAAGAGAGATTCCGGCCGAGCGCAAATCCAAACTTATGCCAAGGATAGATGGACCATTTGAGATCACCAGAAGAATCAACAACAACTCCTACCAAATTGATCTTCCAAGATGAACCAGATTTGAGGACAAATCCTTTTCAAGAGGGAGGGGATGATATGATCATGGAGGAGGTTGCTGGGAACTTGGACCAGGAAGCAGCTGGAGAGCTTGTAGCAGAGGAGGAGCAGCTTGAACCTGAGGAAGCTTGGAAGCCTTGACCTTACCAACTGGTCCCATCACAAGGTCCCAGACTAAGATGCTCAACCAAGACATTGGAAGAGTACTTAGCCGTTTGAGTCGGCATGATCAGGAGCTTAAACATTCCACTTTGGTTTGTTTGAGAGCCCAACACTTGGGATAAAGAAGCAAGTGGATTTTAGTGTGCTCTTTTTCCCTGCCAAGGTTTTGTCCCTTTGGGTTTTCCTTGGCAGGTTTTTAACGAGGCCTAAAGTCCACTTCCCATCCCTTCTTTGTCTCATGTTGTTTGGGTCCGGCCCATCCTCTTCATTAAGTCTTGCCGCCATGAGGTCTCTTTTTTTTCAAACTTGCTTTATGTTTTGTTATTTTCGAGATGATGGAGCTTGTTCCAATCATTCTCTCTCTCTCTCTCTTCCTCTCTCCTTTATTTGTACTGGACGAATTTCCCTTTCAGTTTATGCAACCTTGAATGAAAAACCTTTTCCTTTGTTTACTCAAAGATCTCTTAGTGTGATTCTAAGAACCCTTTCTCTTGGTGTGTTGAATCCGAGAAATCCCTTTAGTATAGTTGTGAGTTGTATCAACTATCTTAGAGGTGGTGTTGGAGATTCCTTTCCATTGGATCTCTGGTATAGCCATTCAATCCATTCCCATCTATCCTTTCCATCGATCCATTCATCACTTCATCATCTCAATCCATTCCGCCAAGTTCTCTGGTTCCTTTCATTCCATCATCATCATTCAACCTCTACTTGCTTCAAAGTGCCGATCCTCAACAAGGGGTCTATCACTTCCATTCCGTTCGTTGGTGTTGAACCTCCGTTTGGTGCATCTCCACTCGCTCCGGTTTCGTCGTACGTGTTTGATCTGTTAAGAGGAGGCAGATCGGCGGCTCCGCTTCCTGTTTCTGCTCGTCCTCCCGCTGCTGTGACAGGAGTCGTGAAGGTGAGCGCCACATGATCGATGCCGTTCATTCCCGCGACTCCTCTTGCTCCGCCTTCCTGTCGTTGGGTGGCTCGAAGGGTCTCCAACTTTCTTGTCAGTGTACGGTTTAGTGCATCTTGCTCGTCGGCTTTCTTCTGCAGGGCGGCTATCATCTCTTGCATCCTCGCCGGATCGATCGTTGCGTCTGGAGCGGCTTGTTGATCGGCTCTTTCTGTTGGCGTTCGTTGCTCCGCGGTTGGATCGCCTCCCGGCGGGATGATTCCCGTTGCGTTCGCTGCTGATCCAGTCATATCTTCAGATCACTAATGTTTTTTGAGTAAGAAATCTTCTAAACCCCCTCCTTCTAGCGCCAAATTGTGGGAGCTGGAATCTGCACAATAGATTCAAGAGATGTTTTTAAGAGAGGGCCTAGAAATTCTAAGTATAAAACAAACCAAGATCGAAAGATGGTTGTTTTATTGATGTAAAGTGTAAAGCGTTGTGTGATGTGTAGCAGGGAAAAAATTGATCCCCGAACTCATTTGGTTCGATCTATATTTATACAAGGTAGAGAACCGACTTTTTCCGAGATTCTCTAAAGATATTCTTAAGATTTGTAGTTATCTCTTGCGGCGCCGCTGGTTTGACGCTTGTTAACTTTTAGGGTGAACCTCAGAGCTTCGTTCGTGGAATTTAGCTCGAATCGTCTTAGTAGGATGTTGGTTCAGCCCACGAATATCTATAGTTCGGCCCATACTCTTTATCACGTCGTTCTCGGCTCGTCTTCACGTGGAGTGCAGCCTTCCATCAAGCAATATGTTCTTGTCACGAAACCCATCAGAATGCACGCAGCTCAACGCAAGTTAGCTCATCTTGACGCAATCCTTAATAGCTCGCCGAACTGTGGCTCGTCAAGGTTCTCCTTGCCGCAGATGTCACTCTTGCCTCGTAATTTGCACGACGAACTGCAGCTCATCGAAGCTCACTGTTCCGCACTTGCAGCTCTCCATGGTTCGCGTATGTTGAGCTCGTAATGAGTATTCTGACCCCAACAGTTGATCTTGGTTCATAGTTTGAAAGGAGAACTGCAGCTTTGTCGTAGCTCGTTGCACCGTACTCACAACTTTTCATGGTTTGCGGACGTTGAGCTCGGAGGGAGAATTCCGATCCCAACAATACCTCTATTTTACATGCTTTTTATGCTATTTTACTATGGTTTTCTAATGGTTTTCTAGTGGATTCTTGTGTTAAAAGGTAGTTTTTATGGATTTATACTGCAAAGAGTCATTTTAGGTAAAAGGTGCATTATGGAGCAAAACAGAGGATTTGGACTTCAAACCAGTTCTGCCACTGCATCAACTTTGGAGGAGCTAAAAAAAGATCTACTCAATGGATTTCATCAAGACCAGTTCCCTGCGTGCTCTGATTGAGTTAACTTTCCAATGCAATGGAGGCCTCATTTGGATGAGTAGAAAAGTTATAGCAAAATAGTGAAGACTGGTCCAGACGGCTCTATCGAGAAACAGCGTTCGAACCGCGCGTACCGGCCGACCGAGGAACTATCGTTCCGCGAT